TCTGCAGTTGTGTAGCTTGGAAACACAACCCCTGCGCAACTTGGATGTGCGACACCACAGTGTGTTTGCGCACCACAACACAGCCGTGCGAGACAGTTGTGCAATCAAAATATGCTAGGGGTAGCGAGAAAACTCGAAATTATATAATTCCTCGCAGTTGACTCAAATAAAATGAGAAAATCTTGATGAAGAAAATGTTGGCACTAGACCCTTTACACAAGCTTATTGAGCAACACTGCAATATAGCCACGTTTTGGGCATCACCTGCAGCACATGCGATTGGACCTGCGCGACTGAAATATGGCAGCCTCGGCGAATGGGTGCAGCAGCTTTCTTGACGACGTGTATTTTTGTAAAGTGTCCATTACGGGCTGAGGCAGCAATACTGAAAGCTGCCACTTTAACGCTAGTTGCTGTCGAGACTCCGTGTCCAAGTGACCGTGTTTAATCGCTCTCTTCCTGCACAGGAGCTGCTGGAAAGGTGCGTGCAATGGAACGAAGACATTGGCGAGTGGCAGCTCAAGTGCATTGCCTACACGGGAAACAACATGTGCAAGCAGACGAGTGTGACCGACCGGAGCAGGCTTCAAGAGGCATGTCGCTCACCTTGTTCTCTTCAGAGTTTTCTTTTTAAGCAAACGAAAGTGCCGGGATATTTTAGAAAAAAAAAGCAGTGTTTTTTGGTCCACATAAATAAACTGGGCATTGCAGAAAGCTTAAACTCCGTGAGAATGTGACACTAGCGGTTGGGATAGAAGGCAAAAGTGTGAGAACATGACGTTACCTGGATCAAAAGATACCTGAAAAAAGCTAAATCGTCCATGAATTGACCTCCACCTAAGCCTAATATCGTCAAAATGAGAAACGACATTGTGGGAAATTGTAGCATCTATTTCAGTAAAAAAAACTTGCCAGCAAAAAAGGAAGCAATATTCTTTTTCCTGCTCACAAGCGTTTTTCATCAATACAAATCCCCAAAACATCCATAATATCAGTCCTTTTTCCAAAGATATCAGGCTTAGGTGGACATCGACAAATTCATAGACCAATTTCCACTTTCTCAATTACTTTTCGGTCCAGTAATTGTCATCTTCTTAAACTTTCCTGTTCTATCCCAACGGCTAGCGTCACATTGTCACGGAGTTCGAGCTTTTTGCAATGCATGGTTTATTTACCCGGGCCGAAAAACACCGTTTTTCTTTTCTCGATCGAACTGCACTATCGTATCTACTGGACTGCTGTGGAGAATTTGCATAACACATAGTATATGAAAAATTTGAAAAATGGCCACCTTGAAAAGATGTTGGTCGCCACTACGTCTCACTTGTCCAAAACCAAGTAACATTGCGTTTCTAGCCGTTCTCTAAACAGGTTGTTGTGGAATCCCAAGAACCACATTTCTGTGCTATAAATGGGTAGACGAAGCTTTGGAAAGACTCCAGTAGCGCTATGGCACCTGGGTGCATCTCCGACTGGCATTTACCGCGTAACCAAAACATAGTCCCTCAATTTCCGCTTGGCGATGTCGTAGAAGTGTCACGGTGGTGGAGGCGGAGCGAGCAGACGCCCGTTTTGCTGTAGCTTGCCGTCAGCTTGACAGTCCACGAAAGCTTCTCCAGCAACAAGTTAAGGCGCCAAGACGACAGACATTGACGCCGACGTTTGCTCGTCTCTTTCGCCAGCCTCTCCACATATCAATGAAAGCTTCTGGTTTTCAACGTTTACCGGGAAACCATCGTCGGTGGGAGACAGTTAGCTCTGAACATTTTATAGATGTTTCGGACGCCTATTATAATTTTTTTTATTTTGATGTCTTTGCAAGAACATTGCTGCGTGCAACTGCCGGAATCGCCAGCATTCGACAGCATAGCGCTGGCTCCCGCGATGTCATTCGATGCCACTCCGGGACCGCTTTTGACGCATGGGCGACTCTGAGCGCTAAACACGCCAGTCGAAGGCGCATTTCGGGCGCCGTAACGCTATCACAGTCTTGTTCGCAGCAACATTGAGCCGCAGGACCCTAACGGCCGGCACCGCCGTCCGACTTTCATTCAGAATGCCGAGTTGGACCTTTCACACGTCTACCTGAGCTACTCTCCGGATGGACTGCAGTTGCCAGGGAGACACCGGTCCGGGAGGAAGTCCGGACGGGCCAGGACCGCGCGTCCAAAGTCCAGCCGCAGGTGGGTCGGAGTTGCAACGACAAACCGAAGCGAGCCAAAAACCTTGGCTATAGTTTGCCTCAAAAATGGCAGACATTGGCAAATGCGTGCCAGCAGGGGTTTTCGAACGTTTCCGGTGTTTTGGACGTTGTCAAGCGCAACACTGCCGAGAGGGCGACTTTGCGAGAGAGACTAATTTTGAGTCGGGAGTGGTTCCGAAAAAAAACTCTCTTCTGTTTCAATCTTTTAAGGTCAACGTCCCAAAATAAAAGCATGTTTCATAATCGCTCCCACCCAAGAATGAGTCTTGCTTTGTAAATATACTACCGTAATATCCCGAGTCATCGCCCATCCCCGAGCCATCGCCCACCCCATCTTTTGGGCCAATATCGATTTCCGAAAAAACACCGAGTCATCGCCCACCCCTTCAAATACCCCAGCACGGACTCTGCGATCCGCGAACACTCATCCTACCCGAATGACGCGGCCGCGGACCTTACAGTTCGAGGACGTCCGTGACAAAGTAAAACAAAGGAGGGAAAGACACTTCTTTTTGTTTACCTCCATGAGCGACCCCAAAGTGGTCGTGTATCCGTGCGAAAAGAAAACGATGGAGATAACAAAATAAGAGTTTGTTAATGTAACCGCGGAGTGTTAGGTCAAAGTCTGTCTCCGCCGAAGTAAGGTCACCGCGAACCCGCTTCCTCTTCCCGCCCGTCGCGACCGCGGTTGTGCAATATTTTAGGCAAAGCCAACGCGTAAATAGAGCTTTGCTGGAGCGCCCTACACAGACGTTTGCAGAGCGTCCCAACCGTGCATTGATAGCCCCCCGTGCACGGACGCACGTATGTACGCACCAAACAAGAAAGTTGCGCAAGAGCTTGCAATTGACAAGGCGCCCGACTTGGCCCGACGCCAAAGTATTTGCCAACGCGACCGCCGGCTTTCCCAGCATTGCTTTTGGTCGCTTCTTTGGTCCGCTCGCTCGCTCGTTGCGCCTGGTCGGTTTTTTCTATTTTCTTGTAGACTCTTCTTTCTTTTTTTTTTTTACTAAATAGGAGAACATAGTGGTGACATTCTTTCACGGAACAAACGTTCGCGCTATATGCAGATCGGCGGTGTTTCTAGTGCGTATGCAAGCAACGAACTTCGCTATAGTAAAATATTCTTTCGTGAGCATTTTTTTTCTATAAAACAATGAAACTAAATCGAGTTTTGAGTTGGATGTATCTCTTGTGCATCAGCGCTAGATACGCAGAGAAAAATAGGCGGTTTTTTCCGCTTTTTTTCAAGTGTTTGTGCTCACCCACCGAGACATGGCCCACCCCACTTTTTTAATGAATTTCAGGCGGTAGGGGGGTGGGCGATGACTCGGGATATTACGGTAGTGCATTAAAATTATTTTTAAAATTTTAGTTCATGACATACAGTAAAATACCGGGAAGATGCCCACCCCGGTTCTGCTGAAAACTGGGTTAATTTACACATGGGCACTTGTCCGGTCAAATTGGGCGCTCGACGTATAATTTGCAGATTTCCCAAATATGGGAAATGTTAATAGTGGGTGCTTGAACGAAGTGGGTGCATCCGCGGCATTTCATGATACATGTCTTATCCAAACACATAAAAAAAGTGTTTTAAAAGCCTAATAATTACAATAATATATATATTTTTTTTTTTCTTCCAGGGAGCAGAGTGCAATGGTACCAGACACAGCTGTACCACCGCCTTGATGACTGCGAAGATGTTTGTTTGCACTCTTTGCCGAGAGTTTCTTCACGCTTTTAAGAAACGCCGACACTTTACAACGAGGCAGGCAGACTTGTTGATAAAAACCAGCAGACCAGAGCACAGCTGCAATTTTCGTTTTCACGGTTCCTGCGGAACTCTATGAGCAACAACACTATAGCTCGCGCAGAAACCATCATTCCTTGGCCAACGCTTTGTGGACGTAGACATAGGTACACATCCCCATTCTAAGTTATTTATTTATTTATTGATTGATTGATGCATCTGTCCTGAAAAACACATTTAACTTATTTTGCCGACATAATAAAAAGCCTGTTTCAAGCATTTTCCCCGTGCGGTCTCGCTCTCCGTTTGGTTCACTCCTTGTCATTTTCGAAGCACTGGCCAAAGCCTCCAAAACCAGGCTTATAACCAATTAGTAGTGCAGCTGTACGAACCAGGAAAGCCGACACAATTCACAATTCGACGTTGGGCACTGCGATCAATCCCTTCGTATTCGTTGGACAGCAGCGTTAAAAATTCTACGCTTTCAACCGATCACTGGGCCCTATGTTTAATTTCACGAGCTCTTTCCCCGCCGATCACACCCAAAACGGAACACACACGCACTAACTTGCGTCTTAATATTTAACTAACTTGGATGATTAGACCTTCACCACAAGCCCATTCCCCGATGACACTGCGCTCAGTTAGCATCCTTAGAAGGAAGGTCTTGTGTAGAAACAATAAATAGGGTACGCCTCAGAGTAACCAGTGCCTCGACCATCATGGTGCCCGGTTATTCGAGGCTCTGTCCGAAACCTTGGGAAACTGTCTTTCCGTCCTCCCTACTCGCCAACACAGTCCACGAATGAGCAAAATCGTACAGCACCAATGTCCTGGCACCGTGTTTAAAGCCCAGGAAGTCGCACTTTCGGATCGTAGCAATTGCCGATTGCACGCGCTGAATGGCGGTGATGTTTACAAAAATGTTGGAAAATGGGGTGCCAATGATGGCCTAAGCATAGCCGATTTAGTGGTCTCTACAAGCTCCAGGGGTGCATCCCCGGAAATCAACAATGTCCGAAAAAAGAAAGAGGTCAAGGCGGGTAACGGTGTGAATCTGATGTATTTAACTGGAAACATCCAAAACAAGGAGAAAACCAACAAGACAATGCAAAAAAAAAATAGCTTCGAACTATACAACATAATTATTATTATCACAAAACAAGGGTCTGCACAGTGTCTTTTCTCTGGGTGTTATCAACTATACACACACGGCACAATGCGGTGGTAGCGGAGCTCTCGACGGAAGGCTCAAACAAGACAACCAAAGCATTTCGCGGAATCCTTGACGCGGTTTTCGCAACAACGTTTTGAGAGGGAACCGGGAACGCTCAACATGCCGACCTAAGTAGTTTATACCTTTAAAGTCTGCAACCGTCACCCTCTCCCAACTCTACTCTACAATGACGGCAGCGTGCGGAGATGATACGGTTAGCTAACCCCTACCCTAACCGCACGTTGCCCGGGAGGTTTCTTGTAAGCGCGGCTATTGGGGTGCTGTTCTCGGCAGTCTCTGGTTTGTTACCTTTGGCTACGTCCAGGACGCCTTGACGAGTTTTTGAAAGACAAAGGCTGCTTTGCATCTCCCCCGGCGTACCTGCCCCGATCCGACCCGGAGCCATCTAAATGGCCAAAAGCCGGCTAACTGGCCCCAAGCCTCCTCTAAGCTGGGTGACTGGCCCCAAGTTGGCTAACCGGCCCCAAGCCAGTTCTAAGCCGGCTAACCGGCCCCAGGCCGGCATACCGCCCAACCCGGCATACCAGCCTCAACCGGCAACCATGTGCTCCTCTGTATTTGTTTTCTCCTAGCTCCTTAAGTGATTGCCTGACAAAGTCACGGTAGCCGATCCGATACAACCCACAAAGAAACATTTCAAAGGTTCCCTTTGCTGCAGACAATACGGGTCGACGCCCGCACAAAACAATGCCAATCCGTTCCCGACTTTGGGTCGATAAAAAAATAAACCTGGGGAAATTTTTTTTTTTTAACGTGACAGACAACTTTCATTTTTAAGTGAAGAATAGTATCACCTGTCTCCAGGCACAAAACACGCACACATTCCCACTCGCAACCGCATTCATCCACAATGTACACACTCTCGAAAATTGCACATTAACTGACGTGTATATTAAATATATCTTCACACATATACATTTTTTCTTCTTGTTTTTACAGCAGGGAGAATTGAACTGTGGTCAGGGGGAGAGGCTGTTTCTGTTTGTTTGTCTTTTTTTTTTTATCACTTCAGCACTGGATTTGTTCCCGGAAGGTTGTCGTTTTCGGCCGAGAAGAGGTGTAAGGCGCATTCAACCCGCCTGACTTCTAACGACGCTTAGCTGCACAACCGTGCCAGTCAGACCCGGTTGTGCAGAAGACTAAAGCAAAAACACAGACCCTCCTCGCCCTGCCAACCCCAAAATCAGTAAAACAATAACAAAAAAGCTAGAGATCCTTGGTAAATGCAACAACAACAACTATACTATGGAGTGCTGATTTCTGAGCTTCCACGGTTCCGAAGGGACACTACCCACGTTCCGACATCGGCAAATGCCGTGCGGCCCTTGAGCAGTGGGCAACGGGATTTGATACGCCTTGTACGGCAGGAAAGACCGATGCGTTATGAAAATAGCTCTCTCACGATGCTACTCTACTGGCTTCCTAATCTCCACGATGATTGCACGAGACGCGGCGTGTTCCTGTGGTTAAGACGCCTTTAACTGCTCCCCTCCCCCTCACATACAATTAAAAGACTAGAACATTTCACATAAAAGAAAAACAACTGAAAAACCTGTTTTTTTCTTTTGTTTGCAAAGAAAAACGAGAGATTCGCGAAAAAGAATGATAATCTCGAAACGAGAGGGCAGAGAGAAAAGCGAGAGAAACTCTGCAACGCAAAAATATCTCTTTGTATCTCGCGCCTCTCTGCCCTCCGTCGCGGCGACCTCTCTCTTTTCCTATTGTTTCCAAGGGCCATTAAGATGACGGAACTATGAATCAGTTGAAAGTATGGCCACATTTCTTTTCTCCCGAGTTAAGTCTTTTCACCACTTGGGCACATTTTCTTTTTGTTTCAATTTTTTTTTTTCTCTGCCCACCGTTTTTCGTTTGTTTGGTCCCCTTCATGGACTGCACTGCACCACATATTGCACTGGCTATCAGTCATAGTCTGTCTACCACACTTGCAAACGGAGCATTGCGGGAGAGTTCTGAAGATGGTGCCGACGAGACGCCAAGGTCACCGAAGAATTGCGGCTGGCACTAATGAACCGAAGCAGGCACCAATGAATCGCAGTGGCATCAATCAATTGCAAATTACACTGATCAATTACCATTGATGCCAATCTGAATGTGCCAATGAAGTGCCATCGAAATGTCAATGAATTGCCGATGTTGCCAATGAAGTGCCATTGGGTTGCTGATGTATGGTCCGTGGCACAATGGGTGCGCCGTCGAAGCGCCGGTGAAACAATGGTGCGGCACTCGAGGTGACGATGTCCCCGGCAGCGTTTCTCTGTCCGTTCGAAAGCACATCTGTACACAACCCGACGATCGCTCTTGGATCACTGCGTATCTTCGGAACCATATTCCTCCGGTTGGTATGATGTTCCTAAAGAATAAAAAAGTGGAGACGAAAAGCATTGCATAATGTAGCTTGTCATCCTTGTTTCGTTTCAAAAGGTCTCAATACCTAAAGCCTAATTGAGGCAGCTGCATTGGTTGCGTTCGGAACGACCGAAACAAAAGCAACGACAAGTTCATTGGGTCAGCTGCTTGCCAAACACAACATGGCAAGCGAGGGTTATATGCAAGTGTCTCGCTCGTTGCCGTCGTTTTGGTTGCCGTGGACGCACCCGACGCAAATAGCAAGAACCAGCCCCGATCGACTGCGTTGCTACCGCTTGTGACTAGTGAGGCAGCACAATGCTGCCATGCCCTGGAACACTTCCGTCAGCATTCCTTTTTTAAGCATCATGTTTTCGCCACGGGCACGGGCTCGGAATAATTCTGACAATGTTATAAGCAATCATTTCGCGTGGATAGTGTGTAGATTTTACATCGACAATACTCCGAAACCTTCAGTCTAATCATATGAAAGTGCTCCAGGGCTACATACCTAATAGATGGCGCTAGTGTTAAAGCCCCGTGAGAAAGTTCACGCTTCACGCAGAGTGTTTCGCCACCATTCGCTCCCAAGCGCCGCTCATTTCAGCGCTGTGCCGCCATTTGCTTCCAATAGCTGCCTGAGACACGTTTCTCGTGCTTTGGCACATTCAATGCTACTTGCGAGACAAACACAAACACATCAGGTGGTTTCAGCCAGTGTGTGTAAACACGTCGGTCTGGAGTCACCGAATGAGCTGCGCTCGTTGTATCGGCACTTCACTTCCCCAATCTTTTTGTGGGCACTGCCATTTTGGTGCTTGGAGCAAAGCAGGCACAATTGGCAATCGTTCCATTTGTGTCGGGAAGTTCAGGACTTCGTCACGGACAGTTTTAACAATTCTCTTAGTATGACTGGCAATTAACAATGGGGGGGTTCTAAGCACCAGGACGGCTGCAGTGCCGCTACTTTGAAGCGTAGCTTACTGAGTGGCTCTAACTTGCTCCGGGCATCACACCTGAGCCAATGCATACAGGGTGTTCCCGGGGAAAAAGGACAGTGTTTTTAGGCCCAGGTAAATAAACTGTGCATTGCAGAAAGCTCAAACTCCGTGAGAATGTGACGCTAGCAGTTAGGATAGAGAATACGAAACTTTGAGAACATGACGTTCCCTGAAACGAAAGGTAACTGAGAAAGACAAAATGCCTTTATGAACAGACATCCACCTAAGCCTAATATCGCCAAAACAAGAAATGACGTTGTGGGCATGTGTAGCATTTACCGTAATATCTTGAGATATAGCTCACCTAAATTTGAAAGAAAATGGGGTGAAAATAAGAAGTGTGCTAAGTTTCAATGTGCCATAAAAAGAAGTTGAAAAAATGCTAGTTTTAGATTTGGTGACTCAAAACTTGAGATTGCTGGGAGGGGCGATGAACCAAAGGTGACTGTCCTTCCCAGTCAGCAATATTTGCTTATCTCCTGCCGCGGCTAAGTAACACCATTTCTGCTGAGGTCACCATTAGGTGACCTCAGCCCTCCAATCACTAGAAGTCTGCTATCTTTCCGTGTTTCTGAAAAAGTAGCAAATCGTGCCAAAAATAGGGTCGGGTTATCTTTCGGGGGTGGACATCTCTCGCGATATTATAGTATTAAGGTGAAAAAAGCTTGTCAGAAAGAAAGAAAACAATATTCTCTTTCTTGCTAACAGCTGTTTTTCACTTGTATAAATCCCACATGTGTACCCGATGACAGTTCTCGTTTTAACGACATAAAGCTTGGGTAGATGTCGACTTGTGGAGCGATGACGTCTTTCCCAGTTATCTTTCGATCCAGGTGGCGTCCTGTTCTCAAACTTTCGCGTCGTATATGACAACTGCTAGCATCACACTCTCGCGGAGTTTGAGCTCTTTGCGACACACAGTCCATTTACGCCAAGCCAAAAAACACTGTTCTCTTCCCTCCGGAACACATACAACAACCTAGACAGAACAAAGTTTCACTGCGAAAACGTCACGAGGGTTGCCACACAATGGCAGCCATTAAGAGACCCAAAGCCACTCACGGCGTCCATCGCTGGGCCAGGGACCCGCGTCTTCGCCGGCGTGCAGGAGCGCGTCGCTGCGGAGGTCGTGGGGTTCCCGCTTGATCTTGACCAGGCAGTCCGATCCGAGGAACAAGTTGGGCTCGACGAGCCGGGAGAGGGACAGCGGGTCCCTGGCGGCGGCGCTGGCCGCCTCCGCGAAACCGCCACTGCCCAAGGCCCTCTGGGACCGGTGCAGGGTGTAGGAGGCGAAGAAGTCGCCCAGCTGCTGGACTGTCATGTCAGTGATGTGTGGGGAGAAGCGCTCGAAGAAGGTGCGCAGCTCGCGCTGGCCGTCCTCCTCCGTCATCAGCGTGTTGATGCACACAAAGTGGTCCATCTGCGTTGGACGGGCAACGCCGGGCTGTCAATTCGTTTCATTTCTCTGTTCCCCGTTCACTGGGAGCTGGCAGAGACTGAAGGCCGGTGTAATGCCTGACAAGGACTCTGTCCCCTACACAGCTTTGGCAGGAGGCATTTTACGTAATTTCTATCAAAAAGAGGAAATCTCACACACCAGAAAAATATACAACGATTTATATTATCAAGAACAATATGAAAGGGAACAGTTTATTTTTTTGTTTGTATTATTGTGCGATTGGAACATGCGATGTAGCACATCATCTAAAGTCACTAATTAAGAAGTTAACTGAAATATCTATGTTAATTAATAGCCTAATGGCACGAGCAACCTTGTTTAGAGTGGCCGGAAAGTAGGGTAAGCTAATAGCAAAATTAGAAATGCGCCAAAGCAACTCTTTTTTTTTTTTTTTTTTTTAGGTAATTTGGTACAGACTAAAAAAAAACACTCTGTATTGGCGACTCCAGCAAAATCAACGACGAGTAGCGGCAACACCGAGAAGCTCGAGGAAGGAGGTTGTTTCAACTCTGTCGTCTGCTATCGGTGCTTGGTTCTCGTAGGCAGCATAGAAACAAACGTCATTTCCAGTAATTATTTTTATGCTTCCGCCGTGTCATTCCTACATACTGACAGCTAGAAGAAGGTTTTTACCATTGAAAAGTCACTTTGCTTTCATATGTGACACCTATCTTACGTTGCAGTACAAGAAATTTATGGTGGTCCCAGATGCTGAACGACGAAAACGACCTCTTTTCGTCCACCATTTTGCCTGACCAGCACGCCCCCTATAGTTTGCTGGAGTTGCGAATACTAGCTGGAGTCTTTTTCAGGAACTGTGTGTAACGCCGCGCTTTGGGGAAGTGCTTTCCCCTTAGCTCACAAGTGCACTGTGTCCAAGCAAGATGCGTGAAAGTGCGAAACCTACCCCACGGATGTCGATTCACTGCAGCAAGCGGTTACAAGTGCACTAACGATGCTAGCTATTCAGTCAGAACAGACAACGAGCATGAGAAATATTTCTAAACTTTCAAGTTCAGTCAATGTGAGGTACAGAGATCAAATTGAATATAATGTTATATAAGGCAATAATCAAAAGTCTCGGAAACTCGCACTAGCCTACCCCAACAATCCGGCCACGTAACGAGGCCCGACTTATTTTATTTTCAGTGTTAATAAACCGAAAATAGGTTTTGGTGCCATGTTGGTGCAAATTCTCCACATTTTGGCAAAAAATAGCAGGACGCAGCGAGGCAAGTGCTTTGGTGCAGTTTAGGGTGACCACCTGTCCCACGACTCGCAGGACTGTCCCGCATTGAGGGCTCGTGGTTTGCGTCCCGCAAGAAATATCAAAATCTTCTAAATGCCCCTTATTTCACACTGTCGTAAAATTCACTACGCCACTCATGGTGCTGCCGAACAACGGGGCACGGGGAAGCGCGGAGGTCGCTGGTGAATGTGTGGATCGCAATGGTACACCATTTTCTATCCAAGCACTGCGGGAAGCGACGGTTGTTCTCGCAGGAGAACTAACGTGCATGCACTGTTGTGCCTCTTCCCTTGGTGGCAAAATATTGAGAAAGAAAATTGCTCGCCAAAAGTTGGAAATAAATTATTGTAATTATTTTCAAATCGTGCTGTGCTGTGTCTATGCAAAAAAGCTGCTGTAAAAAATTTTTTTTTTAGTGTTGATGATTACACAAGGGAAAAAGACTGCAATTTACAATGGTCAAAACCAACAACATAAGGTTTGAAATTTGTGTAGGAGCATGTTGGTAAAATAACAGTCGACAGGAAACAAGAAGCCGTAAAAGATTTACAGCTTCTTGTTCTGCTGCAGTCGATTTTATGTTTTTAACTTAGACACATTTATTAACATATGTGGCATTAAAACTTGAAATATATCACTCGAAGTGAAAATTATTTCAGCTTAACTGCCACAATACAATTTGCAGCTGTATAATATGCTTTCGGACAAGACAGGATATTAAAGGGTCACTGACACCCCAAAGGTCGTATTTTCTTTTTATTATCTAAAACGATTCACGTTGTAGTCGTAAACACACACATAAAAAAAAATACTGCAATGTGGACAAAAAATTTCCATGCGCGCGCGCCTTTTTATTTTTTTGTTCTTTTCTCCCGCTCCTCACCTCCTCGCTTCTTTTGATAGGTGACGTCAAAAATCATTAAATTTAGAAGCTTTGTAGGCGACATGTCTATAACATTTAATAACGCCAATCGTAAAACATGTTTTTTAACGCAATTGCGAATGCGCTACGGCCCTTCTTCTTGAAATATCAAAAATCGAAGCCCGTTGTGATGTCGCCCTCTGGATTTTTATTCTCCCTCGAAAAACATGGCGGCGCTCGACACATGTAGCAGAGGGTGATCGGTGAGTCGGGAAATCGAACGAAGTGGCCTTTTACAGGTGCTCGACGACCTCTCAGACTTCGAAAAGGAAATCGCCAAACGGTCAAAACAACTGGGTTTGGTGTCTGTGTATTGTAGTTTCGGTTGTGACACCGCCGGGGTACCGTCGTCTGCTTGAAGCGATAGGCAGCACGGCACTCACGCAGGAAACCGGTTTCCCAGTATTGTAGTTCCCACGACGCCGGCGCCCCTCTCCTCGCTTCGGGTCGCGGAGACACGTTTTGGAGCGGAGGCGCGAAAGAAACTCGACTCTCAGGAGCCCTCAAAATTTGACGCCACTCCACTGGCGCGGATCGCGCGGGAACTTCAAATTCAGCATTTGGAAATTGTTTTTTTACTTCACAAATACTGAATTCCCAAGTTTCAAATTTTGAGGATAATGTCCAGGCATCGTTTTCAATAATTTCAAACAATAAAAAAAAAAAAAATTTTTAATGTGTTAGTGTTTCTTTAAATGTGTTAGCAGAGCCACATTTCATGGCATGTGTGGATAAATTTCCTCAAATAGTTATTTTTTCTATGATACTCTTTCACCCGAGACTGGGACAGAAGGAGGAAAAAAAAAAAATGTTTTCGTGTCCTGTGCCAGTTTTAGGTAAAAAAGCATCATGGTAAATTTCCATCAGCTCGACCTCTGTAGTTGCCACAGTCGAAATATGATATGTTCTTCTCTTCTCTTACACTCCCCCTCCCCTTCCTCTCCTCCCCTCCCCTCTCCTCTCTTCTCTCCCCCCCCGCCATACAGACACACTCTTTCCGGTCATCGTCTCCCGCATTTTGCTAGCAGGAAGGTGGTCACCCTAGCGCACTTAGGTGCAAATGGCGCGGCAACCGCGCCGCAATTCACCACAGAAATGACAATGCGCATCGCCCACCCCTTCGTCACCTGCATCGTGGCTTGGTCATACTGCAGGTATCCCGAAGACCGCAGAAAGATGAAGGACTCGTCCCTCCTTTTCAGGCGGTAGACTACCACTCCCTTGCCGGAGTTGCTGGCCATCATCTGCTTCTGGGCAAACATGGCGATGGCCATGTCGCTCGGGTGGAGGTACTGGTGCGCCGAGATGCCCTGGACCTCGTGAGGCAGGTGGCCCGTCAGCGTGGACAGTCTGAGCAAAGAGAATCGCCCAACTTAGACATTTCGTCAAAAGCGACGATGGTGCAACAGCACTAACACACAGATCCAGTGTTGGGTAAAGTACATCTAATAGGGAGTTCTAAAATAGCGCACGCTAAAGCTTTGCATACGCAAAGAATAGCGTCATCACCACTGCGCGTGCGCCGAACGCTAACCACGTTTTGCGCTTTGCGTATGCTATTTTTCGGAAATCGCGTGCGTTGCTTCTCTAAGGTAGATTCATGATAAAAAGTTGGCTAATGCCAAGACGAGCACAGTTAAAAAATGGCGGCTCCCAGGATCATGGCTGCGGCCGCTTTTGCAAAGTCGTGAGCGCGACGTCGGCGGCATCCTCGATACTGTGATTTTTAATATGGGACGACATTGCACTCGGCTTGGAAAATTCAGTAAGGTGGGCAACTATCACCAGCAACTTGATGCTTGCGACGCGCAAGCATTTTTCGGCGAAGATAGAGTGTGCGAAGGTCAGTGCACGAAACTCTCTTGCCGAGGCGACGTAAATGGACACGACAGGTCGACCTCTCGCGTCGTATTCTTATGTTTAAACAAATCTAAAATGTTACTCTGGACCAAAAAACTTGTTTTTCTCAAGTTACAGCATTTTGTGTGAGAAATAAAAATTCTGACTGTATCTTGGTGGTGTCGCAAGCGGAGATGCTTGGGTTTTTGCGTCGCGGCGTAGAAACGCTATTCTAAAACTCTTGCATAGCGCACGCAAATGGAAGCGCTAAATTTAGCGCTAGCATGTGCTAAAATTGCGTACGTAAGTACTTGAAATAAAGTACAAAGTAAAGAAGAGGTTATATGTACTTCAACTAAAGTAGGAAGTACACTGGGCACAATGTACTTGAAGTACTAAAGTACTAAATACAATGTACTTTCAATGTAAAGCACAAGAACTTTTTAACACAAGTCACGCAGCCACATAGTAGCTTTACTCTCGCTGACAAACTATTTAACACAATCAACTTATAAGGCACTTTTGGTTGTGAAAGCATCATTTTGGGAAACAAGTTAAACAAGACCAAATTTGGGGAGCATACTTTGAAGTGCGGAGCTGTACTTCCCTCAGAAAGAACCAGAGAAGAAATTCCGAGGACACCTGATTACTTCTTACTAGTTGTGAATGCGAAAGCATGAATGTCCTCCTCCTCCTCCTCCTCCTCCTCCTCCTCCTCCTCCTCCTCCTCCTCCTCCTCCTCCTCCTCTCTCTCTCTCTCTCTCTCTCTCTCTCTCTCTCTCTCTCTCTCTCTCTCTCTCTCTCTCTCCCTCCCTCCCTCCCTCCCTCCCTCCCTCCCTCCCTCCCTCCCTCCCTCCCTCCCTCCCTCCCTCCCTCCCTCCCTCCCTCCCTCCCTCCCTCCCTCCCTCCCTCCCTCCCTCCCTCCCTCCCTCCCTCCCTCCCTCCCTCCCTCCCTCCCTCCCTCCCTCCCTCCCTCCCTCCCTCCCTCCCTCCCTCCCTCCCTCCCTCCCTCCCTCCCTCCCTCCCTCCCTCCCTCCCTCCCTCCCTCCCTCCCTCCCTCCCTCCCTCCCTCCCTCCCTCCCTCCCTCCCTCCCTCCCTCCCTCCCTCCCTCCCTCCCTCCCTCCCTCCCTCCCTCCCTCCCTCCCTCCCTCCCTCCCTCCCTCCCTCCCTCCCTCCCTCCCTCCCTCCCTCCCTCCCTCCCTCCCTCCCTCCCTCCCTCCCTCCCTCCCTCCCTCCCTCCCTCCCTCCCTCCCTCCCTCCGAGAATGAAACCAAAGTAAATGACTAATATCGCCTTAGTGGCACGAAATATGATCACAGCCGAAATATTTCATCGAAGCGAAGTCGTGCACTCCACCAAAACTGATCTTGAAGATGCAACCAGCTGTTCTTTAGCGGCCAGCAAGCGGGCTAGCTTTAAGTCGAGCAACGCTGGCTGATGCATAGCGCAGCGCCCCCGTGACGTCTGGTTGCGGCGGCACTGTGGTCGATTTCGCACGTCGTATTGTGTACCGGAGCACCACTGCGACGTCACATCGCGGCCGGACAGCTGATGATCAGTGTTGCCGTCCCTCTCAAGCAGATAGTTTCGATTCTGCTGTAGGTGCCCGAAATCGAACTTCGAGCCGAGATATTTAAAAAATAACATGCAACAAAAAAATGATACTTTGTAATTTAGGGCCCCTGACTGAGTTGAAAATAGCGGTAATCCCAAATTCAAAAATATTGACTGGAGTGGCCCTTTAAGCCCCGACACAACCGACGCTACGAGCCAACAGAACCAGTCCGAACTGTGTCAGAAGCGCACCAACACGGTGTTTGTCACATGTTTCTGCATCTGCTCCATCGTCGCTGAACCAACCGTGTGCAGGGAAGGCCCAGTGACTCTCCCTTTTGACACCATTCGATCGGTCCCGTCAGCTCGTACAATGGTCTTATCGGCTCGGCAATAGAAAAGAGTACAGTCGAATTTCGTGAATTCAAACTCGAGGGGGACTGAAAATTTGTTTGAATAAAGCAAAGTTTGAATTACCGAGAGTTTCCTCCCATAGAGACGCATAGGATAGGACCTGCATGTTAGTTTCAATTATCCACAAGTTTGAATTAAGAGAGTTTGAATTAATGAGATTCGACTGTACAGATGTTGCTGCCTTGGGCAGTGGAAAAGGAAAAATTCCATTGTTCTAGGCAGCTGCAGCCCAAAGTTCTGACCGAGAAGTCAGCCCGCGGCGATGCGCTAAGACCGAGCAGATCCAATTTTGCTCTCCCCACCCACCTGTGATCGGCGAATATGATGGTGCCGTCGAGCTTGTGCCGCGTGACGTACTCGTCCTGGACAGCTTCCCCGAGTGAGAGCTCCTTGTAGGGGTTGGTGTTGACAAGCCGCACAAACGTCTTGAACAGGTAGCCAGGGCTGTCTCCAGAACCGTCGCAGGGCATCCCGGCGGATGCTGGGCCAGTCAAGTGGCCAACCACCTGTATCACCTGGTTTCCGAACAACGGGTACGGTAACGTCTCGTTAATACAGACATCCCATAGATGCACACTTCTGGGGGACCAACTGGGTAAACATGTACACTTTAGTCTCGTTGTTATAGACGACTCACATTACGAACAGTGTTTTGGGAGATCAGAGGTGTCCGTACTGATGCGACATGACTATAAGTTGCTTACACAAGAGGATCGTACCGACAGCCAAGTATTTTACACAAACACTTTGCGACAGAATGCAGACTGAATTGACCAAAAGAGCCGACCGATTGTCTCGAACTTCATATCAGGCTTTTAACAGAAATGTGGATATCTACTATACTAGTTCCCGACAGGAAACATACTTTTGATTCCCTGACAGGCTTTACGGAAAAACAAAGATGTTTAGAAATTTAAACTTCACAGAATTGCGTCCTAGCTCCTTTGAACAAAAACAAGAAATAAGTCATTTCTTTTGTATGCCCCCATAAGAAGAATCAGAATATATAATTAAATCATGCTCTAGAGTGGAGCCACCAAAAGCTCAAGTCCAGCCCTGAACCATGCAGCACACATGTCCCATGCACAGGACACCTATGGAGCATTGGGACATCCTGGGACATGAACCGAACCATGTGCACTGTCGGGGGAGTTTGTACCAAGGTCTGCAACTAATTTTAGAAATCGGTTTGCAAGTCTCTCTTTACTGCTATGAACTTGAATTCTCCTCCCCTCTCATCTACCCCTTTTTTCGAAGCCTGTAAAAAAAGAAAGAAGAAAAATATTGGGGTTCCGAAATGGGCTTTGTTTTTTTCTTCCGAAATTTCAGTTTCGACCGGGACGGTCTCTGACCTGGTATGTGAGCACCTCGGAGCGTGGCTGGCTCCGCTCGCGGATGCGGCAGAAGAAAGAGCACCGCTCCGAGCTCATCCAGTCTCCCCTGCGCTGCAGAGGACTCCGCGACAGAGACTCGAAGCAGTCGTGGACCGTCTGGACGTCCGCGGAGTGCAGGAACGTGAAGATAGAGTGACCGATCATCTCGATCTGGAAGAGACGAGCAACAGGTCACGAAGTGCATCCCCAAGAACTGATACCTGACCCGGCCGGCTGACACATAAACACCGACGTACCATCATAGACACACAAAAAAAAAACATGGCATATATAGCTTATTTTTTACATTATAGTCTGCCTCCGGTGTACCGTATTTTATGAACTATACACACCACAGACTATACACACCTGAAAGTTGAAATTTTACGCAATGCGGATTATACAAAGATTTTTTTTCTCTATGTCGTTCATGCATTATGACAAGACACAATGGATCTTGTGAATGACGGGAATGTGGTAATTTACATACGATACAAGCTTCTCTAAAGGTAATGAAGCAGGCATTCATCAAGGTGTGCTGTGTATGAGAGAATGTCTTACGTGGAGACTAGACGCCAGGCTCCAATTGGAAGGATAGTGGGTAGACCTCAAGGCACCTAGCGTTGAGGTCTACCCACTATCCTTTCTATCGACCCCACCAGAGCTCGGCATTCCAACGTCACCACAACCCTCCGCACAAGTAGCAGACAAACTTGCACTCCACTCCGCATAAAAAAAAAATGTTGGTACTTTTTTAGTAGAAATTTGTTTCTGCAGACTACACACCGTGTGTGGACGATTAGTAGCAAGGAAGTGCAGTGGTACAGCGTACGACGGCGAACAAAGTCCGTACTCACGTTTTGGTGGCCCAGGTAACGCTCAACAGACGGCGAGATGTAGATGATCTTGCCGGTGGTCGAGGTGACAAGCACGAAGCCGTCTACGACCTGGCGGAATAAGAAGACATAAGCCGGGGACCAACTTCGAAGAAAAGGGACGGTGCAGAGATGAAGGAGTGACTCCCGAAATGCATACTTCGAGGAGATCCTTGAGGTGGTCCGGGTTGAAGAACTTTGGCCGCCATTTCGTCGGCTTGGTCACCTTGTTTCGTTCGCCGGCGGCAAGCGGCGCTGCAAAGGTACAGGAGCAGAGACCACGTACAACTTAGTCATCACTCTAGCACTCAGTTTGGTGCCCTTCGCCTCGCAAAGGCTGCACATGCTATGACATACTGTGGGGGCTCTTTAGTTGAAGGCCTCGCCAGAGAGCCTAGAGCGCAGAAAAAAGTCAAATTTGAATGTTTTACGTGCCAAACCGACGCCGGACACCTGGCACGTCACGGCGGATGACTGGGGATAGATTTCGACAACCTGGGGACGTTTTGACATGCAACCGTAACCTTGGTTGCAACTCGGCGCCATCTGTGCAATAAACCTAAATCGGATTGTAGGCGCACCTCAGCCAGGATTTGAACCCAGCAAATGGGATCTGCCGGCATTTTGCCTCGCACTACAGGTGTCTGAACTAGATATTTTTATTGTAATGTAACTGTGTTGCATTACATGGTTGCATTAAAGGAGCTGTGCAACAATTTCAGGGCTTTGCTTAAATAATTGTGGAAGTTGATGCCTGACACTTCTGCAGTGAACTACAGAAAACAGATTTTGCCTGGATACCCTAGTTTTTACTTAAAAAAATGAAAAAGATCCAGGTTTTCGCCGCCTCTCAACTCGTGCATCGTCTTCCGGGTCACGTGCACAGTGACGTCACTAGAGTAGGCGCGGAGTTCCGGAAAAATTCTCTCTTTAGAGCCATCAGCGAGCAGCGAGAACTCATCCGCTGCCGACCGCGTGACCACCCGTCCTTGCCCGTCCGGCGCTGTCCCCCTCCCCCTCCGGCTTCTGGCGGCTGTTTGCGGTTTTGTGGACCTAGGATAGATGGCGCCACTAAAACTCCGTATAATAAAAGTTTTGTGGATGATACCAGGGTGTTGACGCATTTATATATATGTTGGAACGACAAGATTTGTAAAAAGAGTTACCTTTTATCGAGCAGGTATTCGCACAACTTGCTATCTTTCTTACAACGACCCAAGTGACGTCACGCCGCTTGTTTCTCATGGCCGCCGCTCGTGGCTGCAGGTCGGGAAATATTCCAAGTTTTGCCTCGCTATTACGCGGCGGAATCGCAACATTGCGATGAAAGGAGGTGTGTTTTCTGCCATTTGTGACACAGTGAACAATATCAAAAGCAGAAAATGCCAATTCTTTCAACGTTAAAATCGTTGCACAGCTCCTTTAACACATATGTTCTCCGTTAAGCTCTGTTAAAACGTCCTGATGCGATTTGCATATATGTTCCATGTGTTCCATCTATGTGATGGAAAGAGGAAGGAGGGAGGGGAGGAAAAGGAAAGCAGATGGGAAGGGAGAGAGGGTACTGCAGGAGGTTAAGGAGGCGGATTGGGAGAGGGAAGAGAATCTAGGTATTGGAGGTAGGTGGGGAGAGGGAGAGAGGTAGGTGGAGAGGGAGGGGAGTGGAAAGAGCAAGGGAAAGGGAGCAGATGGGGAGGTGACACCGTAAGCGGGAGAGAAAGGGAGGGGGGAAGGGAGGAGAGGGACAGGGGGAGAGAATTGGTGTGTCACATTAAACATATATTTCTCCAGTAGGTAAACTGAATTGTTGTATAGGTCACGCGACATCAGGTCATGTGACGTCGATTTGTGCCGCAAAATTTAGCAGGGAAGCTGAATTGGTGTTCAACACATGAAATTTTCCCACTAAATTCAGCGGGGAAAGTGAATTGACGGATAGGTCACGCGATGCCAATTTTCCCACTGTGTTTAGGTCACGTGACGTTAAGTATTGTGGCATCAATTTCCCTTCTAATTAAGCGGAAAATGGAAGGACGGACTGACGGGCACAATTTTGCGATTGGGCGGGTTCCGTTAAAAAGCATTTCCTGCTTTAATAAATATAGGTTACACCCTTAGTTACTATCATGTCAAGTTGACATGTCAACACTAAAATAAAACAAAAGCTTTTTTTTTTTTTGTTGTTTTTTTGTTTTGCAATTGCATACAATTTGTTTTTTTTTTACTTCAGTGCTCTGATACACTCGGAACATGATGAACATGCATCAGTTTCAGTCCATCATTTTTATGGGATTTGAACTTTGTACCTTTTCTACATACCTGTTCCCAGATGGGTGCATGACAGTAAGTGTAGCAAGTGCATGCATATGTGTTCAGATCAAATTGCAAGTTCTGCTGCATTAATATTGTAATTTTGTGTGCATGGCTCTCTCCATGCAATGGTAGCAATACTTTTTTCTTTTCTTTTTACTCAAGAGAATTGCAGTGCTGCAGAGAGGTGAGCGTTCCATGCCAAAATGCCTGCAGCGCTGCATGCATGTATGCATAGAGACGATGCAATGAGTATAGCACACTGTATGAGACAATCAGCGAGGACATGACATGGGTTCTTTTTCGCATCTCACTTAGGAAGGGTAATTATAACAGGCATCAAATTTAAATGTTGAGGCTTAGGTCTCAAATAAGCCCTTAGAGATACACAAGTAAATTTGATGACAGCCTTAGGACTTGTGGTCGGTTTGCCTTGCTGCATACCCGACCCGGAGGAATAACACGGAGCCAACGGTTTCAACAACAAGAAACTACATTTAATGGGACATGGACGAGACGATTAACATTGTTACCACCGGCGCCTGAGTCCAGGCAGCGACTCTCCGTGCGCCGCCTCTGATGCGCCTTATCAAGGCGGCGCATGCGATGTGCGCGTGGCTGGCGTGACGTCGCCGCCACGCGGGAAACGTTCGGCACCCTTGCCTCGCAGTCGGGCAACTGGGCTGGGGAGCCGCCAGGGTGCCCACAGACTTTACAAGATACACAAAAAAAACTGGCAATCGCTTGTTCATATGCTAACAATGTTGCATATGTAAGAATAAGTGTGGAACAGGGAAAAAAAAAAAAAAAGATGGCAACCTTACTTGGTTAAGCATAAGCAGTTCATGAAGAGGAATAAATCGAATTGCATCCTGTCTGGCTTGCAGAGGTCAGTAACATATAAAGCTAGACTTTCTTGCAATCAGTGTGTTGGTTCTGCAAGCCTGTGCAATGAAACTAATGCTTCAAAATTGTATTTACATAACCAAAGAACTGAGCTACTCATTTAGCATTTTTGCCATAAAGCTGCAATGTTCACTTGCAACATTGCCATAGATCCGTTCTAGCCTGGCAAATGTAAGGTTCATATTACATTAAATTTGTTTTGCTTTTAGAGACACTCCTGGCAGACCCCCCAAACAAAAAGCTGCCAAACTTCAGAGAGGCCAAGAAAGCGAATTGCATAGTAGCCTCGCAAAGTTCATAGTAGATGCAGTGAGCCTTGCGAGGCAACAACCAATACAAAGTTCTCTGCATAGTGCGATGAACTTTACTACGATGAAATCCGCAATAGCTGCTGACGACAGATTAGATGAGGCAAATGTGGCTGATATGGAGGTTACACGAGAAGTTAATTATAGAAGAATGCACCTGTAGGCATTGTTGAAGTTGGCATCAGATGCATGCCAACTGTAACAAAGAGGAAGATGCAGTCTAGTTCTTTTCCTATCCATAAGTGATCAGGCTGAGTAATAGGCCCTTCCAAAAAGCTGAATATTTTATAAGATGGGCTTTGAGATATGGCAGAATGTCTCCGCTGACAAAGCAGCTGACTTAGTACCTTTCAAATGTGACCTCTATACACATCCCTACTTCTCAATTTTATGTTTTTGGTAGAATTAAATATTATGAAAGTAGAGGATCGGTTCCGGGAGAGTGAAAACAAAGCATGGGGACGTATACCTATAGTTTACCCTCAATTCCCTCATATCCTTCCCCACACTCTGCTAGACCACTCGGAAAATTCGGCATCAAGCGGTCTATATTTCCTCCTTTGCAATACCCCCCCCAGGAACAGCTACCTCAACCGAAATTCCCTCTGCGTTTCGGCTTAAGGGATAAAGCCCCGTTCACACACTTACAACCAAGTACGAAACCTCTTAAAATTTCTTAGGACAAGAGAACACGCTGGCGCCATTTATGCGGTGCCCCTGGAACTGCATTTCACTAGAGCGAAGGTTTTGCAGGATTTTCAAGGTCAAATGTGCGTAATACCTATGAGAAAGGCTGGTTTATCACTTTGACAAAAGTTTTTCGAACCAAGAAACAAATGATAATGCTCGAGATAAATAGAAAATATGCCGGACTGCCAAGTTTACACTGCTACCCAATAGATGGCGCCAGTGTGTCCTCGCATCGTAAGAGATTTTAAGAGGTTCCAAGGCACAAGGTTCTAAGAGGTTGCAAGTGTGTGAACGGACCTTAAAAAACAATCCGACGGAGCCAATCAACGGTGCCAAAAGTGCACCGTCAAGCGCATGCCATGCCGTCTTTGTTCATTTGCCATCGCCGACAGAACCAATCACGCAGACTCATTGGTTCCATCGGACTTGCCGTCGAACTTGTGACCTCTGCCGCCAACCTTCGGCACCACTCCCCCGCCGACACCGCAGACACCCGCCGCTTTACAACGCGGCTCGTCGCACGTTTCCAGGCCGTGTCATGCTGCCCCTGTTCAGTCTGACAGCTGCATCCCTCTCGCCCCCGGCGATGCGCGTGAACGGCCGTGAGGCGGCAATAAAGGCGGAGCAAGAGCTTCTTTTTATGCGTGCGAGCTTAGAGTTCGAGTAGTGACAAGGACAACAACAGAGGGTCTCGGGGGCACCTTCCAAAAGGCTGTCTCGCAGAAGGAAAAAAAAGATAGAAAGCAATCTCCACAAAAGAACCTGCACGTTATCTTATCAGACAATGCAAAAAGACACAATGAGGACTGGAAAAGAACAAAAGAGAGGAGAAAAGAAGAAAAAAATTCTGACCACTAGACGGGGAATTCTAGGAGCTAACACCCCCGCGAGACATCTGCGATGCATTGCCAGGATACGACGGGAATAAAATCCGAGCACAACCGTCCGAGGCCAGAGTGACTCCACAAACGCACAATTTCAAGCTGCCTGCTGCTAGATTCGAGCAACTCTCGAACATGCCTCTGCTCCTCTGTAGCATGATACCGTACGCCTTCTAGGTAACGAAGATATAGATAACGAGCACAGTCAGGCGCAAATGTGTGAGCCAGCCTTAATTAAAGGGGCAGAGCAACGATTTTAACATCGAAAAAAATCGGCAGCTGGTATTTCTTGTATTGTTTGTCTCTGAACAAGTGAAAGAAAAATGAAAGACGTTTACAATCCCCTGTAATGCCGAATTAAAGCGCAGCTTTTGAGGAGGAGGAGAGGAAGGTACGGAGAGGAGGGTATGCCCCTCCTCTTCACCTGTACCCTCCCTTCCTCCTCTCCTGCTCACCTCCCCCATTTAGGGGAAAGTTTTCCTGCAAAATATAGCGGGGAAAATTTTCCGCTAAATTTAGTGGAGAGTTTTTCCTGTTAAATTTAGCGGAAAAAGTTTTAAGCTAAATATAGTGGGGAAATTTTTTCCGCTAAATTAAGCGGGGAAATGTTTTCGATAAATTTAGCATGAATTTTTTCCACTAAATTTAGTGGGGAAATTTTTCAGCTAAATCTAGCGAGGAAAATTTTCCGCCAAATTTAGCGGGGAAATTCACCCATAATGCAACGCGCGGTGACGTCATCTATGACGTCACTGGTGACCCTCGTGACGTCAGACATGACGTCACGTGTGAAGTCATCATGGGAAACGTCCCGTAATGCACCGCGCGGTGACGGCGACGCCGCTCAAACCGGAAACAGGCGCCTAAGAGCTGCGCTCTAAAATGTGCCACCTTCTCCCAAAATACTGTGATTTTGCTGCATAATCACGAAGAGAAAAACACATTTTTTTATCGATTTGCAGCCGTGTGTGGTGGTCATGTCATTAGGGAGTTTTAGAATAACGTACGCAATTTTAGCGCACATTTTTTTCTAAAGTTACAGCATTTCGTGTGTGAAATAAAAATTGTGACTGTATCTTGGTGGCGTCGCAAGCGCGAGATGCTTGCGCTTTTGCGTCGCTACGGAGAAACGCTATTCTAAAAGTCTCTTGCGTCGCGGGCGCTAATACAAGCGCTAAATTTAACGCTCGCGTGCGCTAAAATTGCGTACGTTATTCTAAAACTCCCTATTTCTGAGGAATAGCGCACGCTAATATTGCGCACGCAAAGCGCAAAACCTGGTTTGTGTTCGGAGCATGCGCAGAGGCGACGACGCTTTGCAAAGCTTTAGTGTGCGCTATTCTAAAACTCCCTATTGAGAAAACCATTCCCTCTACATCCCCATCGTCTCCCCATCATTGCCGTGCGCAGGCACCGGGGGGGGGGGGGGGGGGGGGGGCATGGGGCGCAGGCTTCCTCCTCCTCCTCCTCCTCCACCCCCCCCCCCCCCCCCGAAATCTTCCATTTTGCTGGGACCTCCGCTCCCCCTCCCCCTCATGCAGCATTTTGTTACGAACTCGTCTCGAAAAATAAAAAAAAACAAGAAAAATGTCCCGGTAAGAGGTTCACATCAATAAATATTTTGCCCATAGAACAACGTGTCTTTGATAAATAAATATTTTTCAAAAACCATGCTACAGTGTTACCAAAACCAAACTTTGCATTCAGCAAGCGAGGGTTTTGGAGCGAGAAATTCGGCTCACTCTGGTAGAAGCGCAGGTGTGCCGCGCTCAGCCGAAGGATGCTGGTCTTGTCCAGGCGCTTGGAGGCCATGGACACCATGGGCACGATGTTGGCCAGCTCGCTGATGTAGCTGTTCAGCTTGTCCCGCCGCTGCTTCTCGGCAAAGTTGCGCTGCATGCGGCTGCTCGAACTCTCCATGGCGCAGGCGGGTGGGGAGGCAATCTTGGGCACGCTGGCGGTCTTCACGGGCATCGTCAACAGGGCCATCGCGGCGCCAGAAGCATCACCCGACTGCGACGAAGAGAGGACCACCACATGCCGTTCACGATCTGGCAACAGTGCGCTTTGCAAGCCACCCTCCGACCCTCCCCCCCTTTCCCAAAGCTCCACTTTTCATTCACTCGTTTATTTTATGCGCTCATGAACAGCCAAGGCCTCGGCGACGACGCACAGCAGGTGGATTGGGTAGTGGTACGTGAAGAACAATGCAACAAAACATGGGTTAAAAATATCAAACGCTGCTACGCCAAGGTTTGTGATTGCGTATATAAATGTTGAACGGGAGACATGGAGCTAGTTTAGAATTGATGCACCTCAAAAGTTGGAGAGGTTTGCAAAGCTCGCCTCAAAAGATGAAAGTTGATAGACAATATCAGGCTAGGGGAATCAATTATCTCTCAGCTGTGATCAATTAACTGTGATATTAACAAAAATGCAAAATACTAAAAGTACACAAATATTGTACTTTCTAAGAACAAACTGAAACACACTTTCAGTGTCTGAATTGTACACTTTTAACATGTGTTTAGTGTGCCTTGTGTTTCGGTTGTGTTTCATTTGGGAACCCTGCTGCTGTCGCCAACCCGGTTTAATGACCGAGTCACTGAGGTGACACAAAATTAGTTCAAATACTGTTATTGACTTAATGTCCACGAAGACTTCATTTTCGCGAATTTTCAAGGCTTGAAAATGATTGCAAAAAGTTGTTCATGCAGGTAGCACACCCTAGTGAGAAATATGTGGCATACCATTCTTAATCACAAACTTTTGCACCTGCAAGATATCACAGAAACCTACATTTTGACAAATTTGTGAAATTTCAAGCCCGCGAAATTAAAATAGTTCACAGTACTTTCCTAAGTATCAAGCCTTGTTTCAGAAAAACTCACAATTAGTATCAGTCATATAGGAAGTATTCACTGGCGGTCATAGCTGTGTGCGCGACTGCTGAGCGCGTGCTGATGGCGAGCTTCCACAGTTCATTGAAACGTGCATTCCGCACCCTCAAGATTGCCGGTCTTAGCAGCCCATTAATGTGGGCTCGTTCTGAGCATGCGCTCTAAGCAGCACCCACAAATATGGCGCCCAGTGAATACTTTTTACACCCTTAGTGTACTGTATGTTTCCAAGAGACACAACATGGCAGCATACATCGGCATTTATTTTAATGACATGAAAACGGCGCTTATCAGCATCGCCCACATATAAGCACAACAGGCACGCATAAATTTAAAAAAAGCACAAAAAACAAAAAAAAACAGTTGTTTACACCAGTAATATAAGGTGCAGCGCAGTAGAGTATAGAAGGCCAAAAAAAATCTGTCCTCCATTGTATGGATTCTTGAGCCTTTGTTATCGATTGACCATAGAAATAAAGGCCACGATGGGCATTAGCATGATGAGCATCTACAACAACAATAATAGTAATAATAATAAATTCAGTTTACGTGCCCAAAAACAATCGCATCAGTCTCCTCAATAATGTCAATTATATACTGGAGGTAAAATTAAAATAAATGGCAAACCGCCGAACGAGTCCTCTATGTCTCTCGTTCCCCAACGATTTGGCAACCAAAGTAGTTCTACGCGCGTATTTCTTTATGTTTAGTAGCCATGTCCTCAGCCGAAACGCAATGGTGCATTTTTGATCAAATCAACACAATCAGAAAGCAATTTTTTGTGCTATTTCGGTCCCAGTCACACTTTGGCTTGATCAAACCAGGCTTCATCCCAGAAGCGGGAACAATCAAAGTCCTCGTGACACAACGAATGCTCTCCGTCCGGAAGATCCCAGCATCAATCAAAGTGTGCTCGTGGAAGCACAAGCAGAATCTGGTTTGTAGATTAGATGAGAAGAAGAATGGAACGAGCCCTCCCGCCGGACGGGATAATCAAATGAATCAGTCAATTCGTCCGGAACTCCCAGCTTATTTTTAGCGTTCCAGCTTATTTTTAGCAACACGAGGAAAAAAAAAGACATTGTTAGAAACATTAGTTTACCTTGGTTTTATTTGTTCTTTAAGCCGAAGCAGCTAGACAGCACCGATCACGAACCCCACTGGGCAGGTCGTTTTCAGCTGGAAAGAGGCACCATCTCGTGCCTCTTCTACATTTATAACATAAAAAAAGGGGCTTAAAATTGTATCATCTGCACGTGTTGACAATATTCATTCGAAATTTCTAAAAATCACTAAAATATCTCGGCTATTTTCCCAGTCACTGTGCGCAACGACTGGAAGATCGGTAATGTGGTTCCATTGCATAAATCATGAGACAAACATGACAGATTTAGTTACCATCGCCTTTCTTTAACAAGCATTTCATGTATATTAAATCCTTGAAGATATCATCTACTCAGAATTCAATATCTTACGTCAGCTCAGCATGGCTTCTGCGAGATATTCAACATGTGTCCTTCAGTCATAATCTTTATTGTTTAATCGACTGTAACTCTCAGACTGACAATGTTTTTTTGTTTTTTTAGATTTCTCAGTTTCAAGTATTACACACACACACACTACTAATTCATAAGCTTTGCAACTTGAACGTTGAACCTTGTGCTCAATTGGATAGTTGCCTTTTAACTATAATCGTTTAGTTTGTCAATGTTAATAATAATAATAATGTTGTTTATTCACTTGACAAATATATATATATATATATAATACTGGCCTAACAATTCCCCTTTAGCCTCTGTTGATTCTGGTGTACCGCAAGGCTCGGTAATTTGTCCATTATTGCTTCTAATTTATATTAACGATCAGTAGCTAACATTTTATCCCCAACCTGTACGTTTGCTGATGACTGTCCTGCACCGTAATACAACTACTGACCAATCTCGTACTTTACAACTTCAAACGGACCATAATTACATAGCCCACTGGTGTGATACTTGGCCGATGGAAGTAAATACTAATAAATATAGGTTAATGAGAGTGTCCTACTCTTACAGGGCATGCCCTGCGTTAACAATAGAATCCTGGAGTCTGTTTCGCTTACAAATAATTCGGCATCTATAAATACAACCTCTAATCTCTCTTGGGACACGCATGTAGAGTAGTATATTACGGGCAATGCAAATCGCATGTTTGGCTACCTGAATCAAAAACTTTTTCAAGCTCCTTCCTCACTAAAATTAATTTTGTATAAACGCCTAGTCTGTTCAAGATCAAAATATGCGTCATCGGTATAGGACCCCGCAAAAAAAAATCTGGTCACTACATTGAAAGCCATTCAAAACTGAGCAGCTTGCTTCATCCTAACTAATCGTCATTGTATGAGGGTGTAACTAACACAGGAAAGAAACCTTAGCGTTACTTATTATTTGTCTCCCTGCCATAAAAGTGCTTGCCTCTATTTATTCTACAAGTTTGATCACCATAACCCTTCCCCGCCAGAAACTCATTCTTGAACCATCTTATAACTTAGCTCGTCTCAATCCCATTTATAAGGTGGGCATACCAAGCGTTAACGCTCACACATTCAACATCTAATTTGTACCTCAAACATCCCAAGACTGGAATCACCTTCCCGCTTCAATTGCTGCAATTATACTGATGCCCATGTTTTCAAACAAACTCACCCTTACTTGATGTAACAGACATCTTTTTTTTTTGTGTGTGTTTGCTCACTCCCCTCTGTAATGTACTTTGAGCCTTGAGGGTAAATAAAAAAATAAATAAACCAAACAACATCTCATGCCTTTTCCAGATTAATAAAGTCACACAGCAACTGATACTTTTTTTTTTTTTTATGATCACCAGAATGTTAGTATGAGGAGCAATACATATTCCATGAAAACTATCTCCTATAGCAGGGCCAGCATTACAATCTATGATTAACTAGAGATATAACTTAAATGATGATCATTAGCAGTTTATGGGTGGTTTAGCTGACCTGCAACTAGTGCCTCAGTACTTTTGCGGCATGCTTTTACGATCGTAACAATGTCGGCGCGAACAAGTATACTCACCATAGAAGATTCTCATTAAGTCGACACTCAAAACAATTTACAGTATAGCCCGCAAGCTGCCTGCGTTCTGATTGCACAGTGCCCTACGTAGAACTAAGTACTACTACATGCCCACGACACAGTCATATCTGCTAAGCCATACGAGCCAGGCACATAACAGCATCATGCTATGTCAGAGTGCATCAGAACACAGCTTGTGTGTTTGAAAAAGACACACAAGCACCTGTACACAAAAATCAGCATTTGCAAACAGCATCCTGCATTTCAAACAGGCAGGTGAAACTCGGGTTCACTGAACAGGTGTTGGAAATTGCTTTGATGTAGCTGAAGTCGTTCTATGCACTCTGGCCACAGGATATATCTCTGCAATGGTCTTCCCATGTTCACTGCTGCAGATTGATTGTGACAGCCACACTACCAGAAGTCGCACTAAACTCACGTCGGCAGATATGGAACACAGGGGCGGATACAGGTGTTCCCAGAAAGGGGGTCAGCATATTAGATGTTTGAGAAAACAACTCCCCCCCCCCCCCCCCTAAAATTTTACACATGCGGAATTCAAGAGGGAGGTTAGGACACCCGGAACCCCCCCTGAATTCACCACTTATTCCGCATAACCTTATCCATCATCCAAGCATTGCATCTTGTAGCACTGGACATTGATCAGACATGCCTAGGTTTTGGTGTCTATGTATGTTGTCCGTATTCCAACTGAACGGCGGAGAAAAGCTCACCGGAGAAAAGCTCACCGGAGATAAGCTCACCGGAGAAAAGCGCACCAGTGAAAAGCGCACCGGAGAAAAGCTCACCGGAGAAAAGCTCACCGCAAAACCGGCAGATGCGGAGAAAAGCTCACCAGCCTTTGAGCGGATGCGGAGGAAAGCTCCCAGATTTTTTCTTTAACTTAGCCGATTCTGCGTGAAACAAGGTAATTTAACACAATTCGCAATCGTCACTTCATTAAAATTACGTCCTCTTTTTTTTTGTGATATCCTTGAAGTTCATTGGGCATATTTAATAAATTCTGAGAAATTAGTAA